ACGGTTCGGTCTGGTGGAGTTCAGTGTAACACTCAAAGATACGCCAATAGTTATACCACGACTTTCTTGAGCTTGTGTCTTTTGCGTTCATCTAGGCTATCATGCTCGGGGGAAAGGAGCTCTTATTTGACGACATCCCGCGAAAAGCAATAGAATAGTTACATGTCGAGATGGAAAGAGCCTTCTAAACCGATCTCTGCGATTTCTATAAGCGAATGCGACCGCGTCTGACGGCAATTGAACTAAATATGTCGGACGGGAAATGTAAGGTGGTAAATAGAAAGTTGAAGCTTATACCCTCGGCAGCGGCAATCCGATGGGGAAGTGAAGCTGTCGGTCTTGGCATTCTGGAAATTTCTCGTGTCGACTTGAGTCGAGATCTTCTTTCTTCCCTTCCCCGGTCTTCTTCCTCTTCTTCCTTTCTTGCACTCCACACTTCAACCTGCCCGTCCTACTTGACTTATTCTGCATCCTTCAACCAATTTCTCATCCACTCACATCTCTCCTGTCGAAATGGTACGTGTTCGCAATAGTTACGTGTTATGGGAAGCTTCGGCTGGAACTTTTCCCGCCATCTATCGACTTCATCGCCCCTGTCACTTCCCATAGCGAGCTCCCTGGAGCCGTCCTGAAGATCAACGGCTAACACAATTATATCGATTAGTCTCTCCTCCGCAACATCAAGGGCCTTGCTCCCCTCCTCGACCGTGTCCTGGTCCAGCGCGTCAAGCCCGAGACCAAGACCGCCTCCGGTATCTTCCTTCCCGAGAGCAGCGTCAAGGAGCAGAACGAGGCCAAGGTCCTCGCCGTTGGCCCCGGTGCCGTCGACAAGAACGGCTCTCGCCTTCCCATGAGCGTTGCTCCTGGTGACCACGTCTTGATCCCTCAGGTACGTTGCTAGTTTGGGTTCTTCTAATTCGCTTCCGGAACCATCCGATGTGCAATAGAAACAACCAATTCGCTTGATGAACTCCTCGGAAAATTTGTGATACTAATGGTGGTCTTATAGTTCGGTGGTAGCTCCGTCAAGGTCGGCGAGGAAGAATACACCCTTTTCCGGGACCATGAGTAAGTTCCCCGTCTTTTATACTCCAGCCGGAGACAATCGATTCTAATGCGACTGTAGGCTTCTTGCCAAGATCAAGGAGAACTAGATCAGTTCTTCGTCTTGTTCTTCCGCTTTCCGACTGGTTGAAATAATCCAATCGGAGTCTTGTATTATATCACGCAAATCATGAGCTTCTGTCATGCACTTTAAAAATAATCTAAAAAAGAGCCATCTACGAAGTGAGGACGGTGTAAGAACCTGTTCCTCGATCTCCGGGCTAATGCTTCCTTTCCCTTATCTTGCATTTGCTATCTAAAGCGTGAAATGTGTCTTGGTTCCTTTGCATATTATGCGATGTACTTTAGCAATCGTTGTCTCCTGCGCTGTCCGCGGGATGAACACGAGTAATCTGATACGAATGTCTCCTCTCTACTTCATCTTTACTGTCTGGGTCTGGGGTACTCCGGGTTTATGCATATGAGTGTAAGCGACCCTATTGCAGCTATTCACTGGACATGGATTAAGGATTGTAACATCTGCTGTCCGAGGTGGTAGGATATATAAGAGGGATATTCATCGCAAGTGCTTTGCAATCGCTACTACTACATTCATGCCCAATTGTGTACCTCTGTTGAACTGGCGACAAATAACACCTCAACCAAATAGCATGGAAATGACAAGCATGGATCTAGCCCACATAAGAGTATCCCTTATAACCACAGCTCAGTAATCAAAATTCAATGCTCAGTCACATTGCCAGTCCTTTTCAAGAACTGCATCAGTCTTCTTCCCTATCAAGTCTGGAAAGAGCCCTTGTCGACACTCTGGTGACATCTCGATAAATCTGGAGAGGCTGCTCATCTCGTTCTCGACATCATCTGTTGGACTGGAATTATTGTTGCGTATGGGAGTTTCTCCTTCGTGTCTCAAGGCGGTCAACATGATTTGTGCAGCATAGGGATTCAACCCTACTCGGCGGAGAAATAATTCCCAGCGAGTTTCATTCTCCATAGCCTCTATATCAAACTTGATCTTCGGAGTCGGGTTCAGGGGCGTAAATGCTATGCTTTGCGGTAGATTAACAGTATCAGTAGGCAAGTGAAAAGCGTGCTTGTGAGCTAGCGACAGGATCCATCCTATAATTGTATCAGACGATGGGGAAATCAATATCGGAGAGATAACTGAATCCGCTGATATCGAATCACAGAAGGCTATTAGTGATGTAAAAGACGCCAACAACCGTCTATCCGCTGTCCATCCTGAAGAATCTCCTTGTGCGTTTCGTGGAGAAGTTGTGCCGTGGGTAGCAAATACGTAGAGGTATTTGTACCGCGGAGCTAGGAGGAAGATACGTTCGCGGAGCGGCGAGTTGATGCACTTAGTGCCGTTCGTCTGTGGGTTAGGCTTATGGCCAGGAAGATATAGCTGCGTAGTAGCTTGTAGAGTAGTTAATATGATCCCGGTTGTTGGTGCGACGATGATGTCTGCCTCTTTGGGGAGATCGTGTTTGGTGTTTACTTGAGATGAAACCCAGATGCGAGGAACGGGCTGATTTCGGATGAGCACATCATAGTCTCTGTATATCATAGCTGGAGGGCTCTTTAATCTTTCGAGACCTTGAATAATTGGGAGATGGCTTTTGAGAAGTGCAGTTGATAAAAAGAGTAGCGGTTGCTCGTTATTTTGGACTCGTAGTTGAGGGTACTGAGGATACCGTTGTTTTGTAAGCTCTAGCCCTAGAGGTTGTACCTCCTCTAGCATATCTTTTGGTTTTTCATATTTGTGGAGGCTCCTAGTATCTGTAGCTGGATCCTGATGTCCTACAATATCTTCAACCCGCATATTGTTGGTAAAGTATGGACTGACGGCCGTTATTTTTCGCCTTTCGACCAGGCCTCTAGCCTCCATAAAGGTAGACAAGGAGCCCAAAATCGACGGCTGTGATGGTAGCGTATACTTGCATTTGTCGTTAGCTAGACATGCGGTTAATGGCTGGTTAAGTCTGCGGTCTTTCCGGGAGACATCCTGCCTCTCTTCGTGTTTTCGTTTTTGTCCCCCCAACACTGTGTCTGCTCGGACTTCGCAATCTATTGTATTAGATACTGTATCTGAGAAAATATTGGTATCAGGTATAGCGGCATCTGGAGACGCATACGTGGCCATCTTGTCACTTTCAAGTTGAGGAGTCGCTGTATCATGCCCAGACAATTGTCGTTGTCCTACAAATCCCATATCTGTAATATTTCTATGATTAAATCTCAGTTCCTTACCAGATGCTGTTTCGACAATGTCTTCCACACTTCCGTGGTCTTGAACTGCATGTAAATAACTATCAGCATGGTCTTCCGACTTTGAATGCTGTGAGGAATGCATTTTTGGTATGGGGTATTGTTGAATATCCTGATATTGCGTAGAATCTCGATTGAGCGAGTCTACCACCGAACGGGAACCGAAAGTCGAAATATTATCTGACAGCTTGTTTGTGGTCTGAAATTTCCCCTCGACAATCATAACACTGGATGATCGACTTGATCCCTTCTGCGTAGAAGTGCACCCGATTGGCATGCACTCGCTCTCTTGCATAAGAAATATGACTGATGAATCTGAATCGAGCGAGTTGATATTATCACCAATCTGTTGAGAAACACCCGGAAAACGTTGTGTATCATCACTTTTTTTATGCTCTTCTAGAAAAGCCTGATCGGTGCTGTCGGCTCCAACTGTTTCTATTTCTTCTTTGTTTCGGTCAAGTGATACTTTATGCTCTGGTTGAATTCGTTCGTCGCCTGTAGGACTACCTTCTCCCTTACTTGGCGCTACCACACAATCTGACGTCTTTGAGTCTGAATTATGGGAGGATCTTCTTTTGCACTGCATCTCATGCTCAAAGGAGCCAGATGAAGTGGGACTGGGCAGCATCAATGACATGGAGACCGGCGACGGACTCCGATAGTACGTTTCATCGACATCTGATAGAAGTAACGGTGGAGATTTCGAAGGACTGTGCTCTTCCTACAAGGCCACAAATTATATAAGTCTAAGTCCTAGCAACATAGCTTCGATATTCGTACCTGACCGGAGATCATCATGTTGTCTAAAAGGCCTTCTAGATCTGCGAAGGGAAGACTTTCACAGTCTCTGGCTTTTTGTATCAACAACATCGACTCTCTGCTACAACTCAACTTCTCTGGCATAATATCCTTCAGAACTTGGTCAGCCTTGGCTAAAATATCGGCCTTGATATCCTCATCCTTGAGTTTCTGACAGGATTCATCGAAAGGACAGATTTCGATCTTGTTCTCGTCGTAACGCAACGGACTTGTATATCGCAACGTATCCATGATGCTGTCGTCGTAAAGAATTGGAAGTTGCACCTTAAGCTCATCAACTTGACTGAATTTAGGTAGAAGCTCATCCCAATCTATGTCTAATTTTTCTGCTCTCGCATCTTGAATCACGGATGCCAGCAAACGAGCGCTTTCTTTCCTGACATTGAGCTTTTCTTTGTGAAGATCATGTTCAACGTTCCTCTGTGTCTCGTAGATATAATCTTGAAATTCCGATAGAGCATCCCTGGGAAGTGGAGTTTCAAATGTGGTTTCGTCGATGTATGTGAGTGGATCAACTGCCGCGAAATCACGGGCGATACCGTAGAATCGAGCGTATTCTAGAAGTGAAGGTTCCTGAGAGTTTTCCATTGAGTGTCCCGTTTCTTGGTGCGCGACAAGTCTAATGCTTGCCAATTAGAACTACCTAGAGTAAAGTGTGACAGAAGTTGGTCCGCGGTCCCCACGTGTCTTGACAGGCTGCAGATGTTTTAGATCTTTAGAGGGTATCTATTGCTACAATCTACAGCACAGCGTCTGCCAGTTGCTACCTTGTTTGTTATGAATCCATCTGATAAACAGTCTTAGTAGAACTATGCCAATAGAATTATACAAAATCAATTTCCCGGGTATGTGTAACGCCATTTCCTCAGAATGTTCGCAAGTGTTTCGCTCAGCAGTGAAAAACAAAAAGAAATAGAAACAAAGGCTTAGTCATTGTAGTTTGACTGACGAGCACCATTCTTGTCTACCGGTGGCAGGTTGTAAAGCGCAATGTGCTCCTCTTCTTGTGATTTGCCGGCCGGGTCCAGGTAGGGTCGTTCGGCCTGAGCAGCGACTCGAACTGCATGACGACGATGGGGTGCAAACCCATAAGACGCCGTGTGGTTCTGTTGAATTCATTAGAGACGTCCACCTTTTAGTGTAGCATCATTACTCACCGTAGTCCGATTGTCCCAGATAGCTAGGTCATCCTTATTCCACTGAAACCGTGCGTGCATCTCTTGTGTGGTTGCAATCACATCGGTGAGATATTTGATAATAGCGTCACTCTCTGTCTTAGGGATCCCAACGATCTTTGTGACGAACCCAGGGTTGAAGAAAAGACTATTCCAGCCAGTCACCGGGTTGGTGCGGATCAGAGGGTGCTCTGTAGTGACAGGCTCACGACGGACTGGTCGACCGAGGGCTCGTGAATCAGAAGCTTGCATGTCCGCTGAGTGAAGCGCAGTCAAGCCCTTCAGATATGTCTGCATATGAGAGGAAAGAGCATCGTATGCTGCATACTGAGAAGTCCAAAGAGTATCGCCACCCCCTCCACGGGGAGGCCCTGTGAGAACCTTCAACATTGTGTATGATGGTGGCTGTACCTCGTACGTCACATCCGAGTGCCACAAAAAGCTGGGCGTGAACAATGCCCGCTGGTCGCCAGAATTATCTCCACTGTAAACTACGTGAACATCGTCCAAGCCTTGCTTCCTCGGAACGGACGTAGTTGCGTGCTGCATGTTGTTAGATTAACCCACGAGCAGCTAAACCCAGATGGCTTCGTACCTTATGTAGTCTCCCGAAATGTCTACCTAGTTCTCTTTGGGCATCAATGTCTAAGTCCTTTTGGTCACGGAAGAACACCACCCCACGGACAGCGACTAAGCGAGCCAAGTCGTCCTTCTGCGCTTCATCTAACTTGGCCAAGTTCACACCGTGAATCTCAGTTCCGATCTTGGGTGTATAGTCAAAAACATCGGTTGCATCGCGCAGTAGGTTACGGAATTTAGGATCCCCGCGAAGTCCTCTGTCTTCATGTGGAATCTCTTCTAGCGGATCCCAATGAATATCAGGGAATGAAGGCAGAAGGTCTTCATAAGCGTAGTTGTCGTGACGCTCGACGACTGTGCGTCCCGGTGTGTACTGAAACTTGTTGTCGCCGATGATGTCTTTCTTTGGAAGGATAACATGGCCCAAGGCTGGAGCCAAGGTGGGTTCCTCAAGTGAAGGCGCCATGTTGTGAGCTGGAGGAACTGTATAGAGAACCAAGTATAGAAGAAATGTGTTTGCATGAGCAGTTCCTTGGAAGCGTCTATGTAGCTTATTTATCGAGCTCGAGGCTCCAGTGGAGGTAGTAGTAGACCGCCATTCTCAAACCTGCCGTTATCATTCCACATCATCATCATCGTCGTCAATGCCGGGGATCGCGGATATGGCACCATCGCTGGCGAAAATCACCCAAGAGGCTGATGGCCAGTACGGATTAGGGGGAGTGATCCACGGGACTAAGTTTCCACAGGCCTTCTGGAATGGAAGATGACAAAACGAGCTGCACATCACGTCATTTTTGCCCTGCGGCATTTTTGCTATGGCTATATGTAAGCAGGAGCTTGAGGGGATAAGAAGATACGCAACAGAGGAGGAAACTACCGGTTCTTGTGTTTGTCTATAGAATCGATTATTTTTATTTCTCTATTCTTTTGATTTTTTTTTAAAAAAAAGTTTTTTCTCTCCTCTTTACTGTGTTACACAAATAGATGCCGCAAAATTGAGACGAGGAGGTCAATGCCTTGAAACGTCAACCGTCTCTAAGCCAGGTGCCGATCATGGCAAGTGTGGAAACCTGGGGTTGGAAGCGATTAGGTGCGATCACGCAAACCGGCCAAGCTCTTGCGTGCGACAATCTGGTTGGCCTAACGGTTGGGGGAGGTACCCGCAACCACTGGGCAGTTCGGCTACAACTTAGTCAGGGAGAGTATGGGGTACATGCATCGTAAGCGAACTTGTCAATCGTATATTCTAGACTGCGTACTTCGTCACACCGTATTTCGTCATGTTTATTATTGAAGAAAATTGGATACTTGAGTCAAACGAGACTGATGAAATGGGAATAATGCCGGTTAACTGATCTACCGCAGAACGCCTGACCTCGAAAATCATGCTCAAACCATAACATCCAAGCCCTTCCTTCCCGTTTCAGAGTAAACTAGGGCAAGCTTCATTATATTATACATTGCCAGAAAAGGATTGATTCATTACAAGTTGAGTCTACCCTCGCCGAGAGATGGCGGTCCCAGCACCACTTCTTGAACTTGTTCTGTAACTCCCCCGAGACGACTGGCAACGCCCAAGATACCAGCCTCAACGTCCCCAAGCACAACGGCAAGATCATTCAGTACCGATTTGGGTGTCCCCGAAACGGCTCCATCGCGGCTGCGAGATGTCACGAATTCGTGGATCTGCCTCTCCAGGGTAGCCTCAACGCCATGAAGGTGGTCTTCAATCTCTTTCAAGTTCTGCTTGTAACGTTCGAGGACGGTCCCCATCTCGTCAGAACGTTGAGAGAAATAATCGACAAGGTTAACTGGTACTCCATTGACGGTTGTGGAAGCATCGCCTTCGACATCGTCGGGAAGAGCCAAAGTGTTCTTGCGTGTCGACCGCAACGATTGTCGATCGGACAACTTTTGGTCTTGAACAGACCACCATCCAGAGCCCCCTGCAGGTTGGAACTGCAAAGGTAGCTTGAGGGTATCGATTGCTCGGAAGCCCACCTGTGCTTCAGCGGCATCACGAGCCACAAGATTCCGTAACTGATCAATGTCGCTGGCATCGTTTTCGAGGGCGTGTTGCATTGTTTCCAATTTCCCTTGGACAAACTCCACGTCGTTCGGAATAGATTCTCCCTGGGCAGCAATGCTAGGGATCATGTTTCCCACTTCGTTGCACATCTTGATTTGCGTAAGAACGTAATTGTCAAATACCTCAAGCTCCTTCTTGATCTCGTCGGCACAGCTCTCATACTTGGTCGTCGGTAGAAGGTTGCTCAAGTCCACTTTGACCCCTGGGACTACCGTACCGGCTGCGGCAGTCGGCTGTGCTGGTTGCTGTGTTGTGGTATTTTGGTTTCCAAACAAAGATAAAGTAGGCTTTTGAGCTTGCTGCTGTTGTTGCGTGTTGTTTTGGTTCGCACCGCCGCTATACCCGCCCGACGGTTAGCTCATAGATATGAGGGTATAGGTAATAGGTATATTTCACTCACAATAGCGATCCACCAGTGTTAGTAGACGTTCCCAAACCACCGAATAGGGGTTTCGATTGAGTCTGTGCGGTAGAAGCACCCCCGAACAAACCTCCGCCAGTTGTGCCACTCTGCGCTGTGTTTGCATTTGCAGTTCCTGAGAAAAGGCCTCCAGATTGTGGTTGGGAAGTAGTCGCTGTGGAGTTTCCAAACAATCCGCCGCCCCCAGTATTACTTTGTTGCCCGCCTAAGCCTGAAAACATATTTGTCCCGGAAGACTGATTCTGCTGTGTAGTTCCACTAGTCGCGTTGCCGAACAGACCCGTCCCAGGCTTGGATTGTGCTGTAGAGCTTCCAAGGTTACCGAAAAGGCCCGATGTCGTGCTCGTCGTTCCTGGTGTAGTTGTGGAGGAAGTTGTCTGCGTATTAGCCCCGCCACTAATTGATGCGACTAGTCATTAGCTTTTCTGGAACACGGTATTTCTGTATACGAGTGCTCTTTGATAAACAGCGGCAGCACTTTATTTATAGCAAAACCAAAGCAAGAACGAGACAAAGAAGTAACAGGGAAGAGGTGCGCGCGGTAGGATGAAAGCGAAGGGTGGACGACCGGCTTCCTTGTAACACAAGAATCAAGTAATCAATGTCCAAACAGAAAGTAGAAACACAATTGAACTGCACTAAGCAGATAAGAAAACCAAGGCCTTACAATAGAGAATTGGCAGAATTGGTGTTTATGGAAAGGCCGCCGCCCGCAGGTTTTGCGGAGAACATTATGGAAGGGAATGCGTGCTACTCGAGCAAAGGGGTGGGTCGGAAGACGGAATATTGTAGGAAACCGAAAAGTCTCAGCCGATCTCAATACAGGAGGCAACTCTCCCAAAATTAGTTAAAGGAAAATAGCTTAATGAATCTGTGCATGCTGTGGTGAAAACAAAAGTGAAGCGGTCCGAAACAACAGCCCAAGCTAGTGATCAATGGAGTAAGATTTTCCGACGCCGGTGCACAGCAGCCTTAAACTTATTTTGAACATCATGTTTAGATCAGTATAAGTTTTTATTGGACTGCAAATATCTTGCCAGCCGGGACCGTGATTTAGCCATTCACGGAGACTCTCTGCTGATATATCTCGCATCTAACTATGGTATCTGTGTGACTATCAACGTTGTTGTCACTGCAATATTTTCTTCGTAGCCAGGAGACGCTTCATGCTGTAGTTCTTCTCTGCGCTGCCTGATAAATATTTAGGCTTAATATCTCGGATATTTTTTATGCTGGATTCATTGATGGCGTTATATGAAAATTCAATGTGACTTATCCAGAGAGAGATCCCCTGCATTTTGAGCTACTGGTATCGTATCTGGATATCAAATCTAAGGTCAACTTCATCCGCAACATTTCTTACTCCTGTCATATCGGTTTGTCATGTTTCTCGATTAGCACTCTAGGTACTTTGAACCCGATTTGAGCGAGTGTATACTGCCAATATTTATATTGTCAATCTTACAACCTCAGCACATCATGACTGCAAGCGGTGATACCAGCTCTGCACCTATATGTGTGGCTTCGACTCAACGAGGTGATGAGGGGGGTGATGCACCTTTAGACAGCCATAGTCATGGCGCTCTGAGCACCGCATGTTGCGCCGATGAAAGCGCATCCGACACAAATTATATCAAAAGCGTCGAATGGTATGCTCATGACGACTTTACCTCCTTCGACTTTGACTGACTAGAATGCTGCATGTAGGACTCCCGATGGCACCACCCTTCTAACGGATTCTGCAGATCATCATATAAGGAGTTATATTCTGTTAGTTTATGTTATAATACTCACTTATTGCTGTGCTAATAATTAGCTCAGGCCCCCTGATCTTTTAGAAGAAAGACCGTCACCGCATCGGTTGTCTCCTTACTCTGTACTAGCTTCAGCGGAGCCAACCTATGCAACTGCTATTTATCCTTATTATTCTCTTCAGGATCCATCTACTACACTTTTCTTATCATCGGTTCGAGATCATCCTATCAGACTGGCCTCAACTCTTGCTCCCACGTTGTTGGCGACTTATTCCTTGATACACCCAACCACGGAAGCTTTTATAACGCCACATTCAATTATCTATCCGTACGCCCTCGGTGGAACGCATTTTCTCACTGGGTCAGATAGCCTTATATGTCTTTTTGACGTTTCCCGGCCTGGTAACGATGGACCTGTTTCTTGGATGCCCACTATACCAAGTAAGCGTAAACAGACAGTGGGTGGGGGCGTTGGAATGAAGGGTATCATTTCCGCTATGGCCATCAATTCGACAGGAGATGGTATATTAGCAGCTGGCACCTTCTCAAGACAGGTGGGATTATATGACTCAAACGGAACCGGACAGTCCTTAGGCACGTTTAGCATTGCAAAGACCGATGCTAGTCGTCGTATTGGGGGTCGAGGTATCACTCAGATCCTATGGAGTCCTTGTGGACGATATCTATACATCGCTGAACGAAAGAGTGACGGCGTTATGATATACGATATCCGGGTAACTGGCCAATTGCTTGGCTGGTTAGAAGGTCGCAAGGCCATCACTAACCAACGGATGAAGGTTGACATCGTCTCTACCAATCAAGGTATATCGCATGAGATCTGGGCTGGAGGAACTGACGGTTTCATGAGGGTATGGCGTGACCCGACACATACTGCTGGAGGACAGGAACCAGTATGTGAATGGAAGATCCATGATGGTACGTGTTATCTATTCGGTCTACTCTAATGCAATCACTGACCTTGGTCCTCATAGACTCGGTGAGCAGTACTGTACTACATCCAATGGGCAACGTTGTGGCTACATGCTCTGGACAGAGACACTATTTAGATGATGATGACTACTCGTATCCAACAGAAAAGCTTGACAATAGCATGAAAGTATGGTCTCTGCCATTCCTTGAGGATTTCTGAATATGAGTCAGTTTCTTTTAATCTCATTATTCACTCCAATTGCATCCGGGACCAGTCATATCTTTTGAAGTTCGAAACGTTGCTATGAGCCATTCTTATGGATGAGACCGCGATGGAAGGGAATGGAGGTTACCAAAGAATAGCCACTGCAATTCCTCAGACGACTACCTCGGAGCAGGCAGGTAATTGATAGCAGGCTACCATCATCGCCGAGTCAGATGAACCCAGATGGCCTTTTCAGGTGCAAGGAACTCTTTAAAGCACTATACGGTTTCCAATGGGGACGCAAGATTAGGCAAGTCTGCTTTTCAATATTTGTCCGTTTTCTAAGTAATCAAGTGACTTTCTCCCATTGAGCCCTATCGGCCAGGCTATTATGGCTCAATCGATATATATAGCGACGGGAAGGGAGTTGTGGAAGCTTGGAGGCGTTTATATGCCGATCAATATGTTCATTGTTTCTGGATATCTTAATGCAACAGTGCCATTGTTGGCTGAAGACAATCGACTTGTGGACTGTTGAGACTTATACCAATACATACTTCCCTGTTCTTCACTGTTTTGGTTACTGGATAACATTGGCCCTTTTGGTTGATGTGGTGAATTCTGTTAACCCTGAATAAGGACCCCTGGACGCTATTGTCCCTGCATTGATGTGAAACGAGGGGTTGTTGACAGTCACTCTGATTGTTTTCTCCTTTGGGAATATCATCAGTTTCCAGACCAACAGCAATGCGGCATCTTCCCGGTGTGAAATTCACATTTCGCTTAAATACAACATCTCTTTGATGGATGGCCTCCCCATTCGCACCTTGATCTCCACACCCATTTCTAGACATTCCTATTCATTTCCTATTCCCTCTCTATGTAGCTAATGCTTCACAGACACTTTCTTCACTGGTTCTATACTATCTCACTCTTTTAATGTATGGACGTCTTCCTTCTATTCTACTAAATTCAGATGATTCTCCTCTTCCCACAGCTTCTTCCTCTCTTTGCTTCTTTCTTCCTCCCAACCTCGTGAATTTTCCACCATTCCTGGAATTTTGTGCTGAGCTGCTTTTCCCTGGCATTGGGTGGCTGTAAACATCTGCTATCCTTTGATAATCTTCACGATGTCTCAATTTACGGAGTGGTATTACCAAGATTGGGAGCAGCAGCTGTTGCACCTGGATCAATCGCATACTTCGAACCCTGCCTTAAACGCTGACCTTGGCTATAATAGCTTTCTCATGAGCAATGACACGTAAGTTCGCAATGACGTCAAGGCTGGCCAGAGACAGGGCTAATATTTGCTATAGCAACTGGGCATCTGACGGGTTCGTGAATGGAGCATCTGTGGAAGACACGTTGGAGGTCCCTCACCCTCACCCTGACATTTTCAGCGGAGCTCATAGCATGCCTACGAGAAGTCGCTCGACCGCTATGATACCAATGACTGGTATGCCTCAGCATGCTGGAAACAGGATCTCGCGTGTTGGTGGTGCAGAGTACGTTGTATCCATCATATCATAGTGAAGTGTGTTTCTTACTCATACATCTACCAGTGCGGAGGACTTCGCGATCAGCTCAGGTGCTTCTGCATCTGGTCCTGAACTCGGCTCCAGCCCTCCATATATGCCCTTAGGCATTATGACAGGCGGTGCAAGTTACGACGACAGTTCTAACAATAGCCCTGCGAGCAGAACATATGTCGATTTGCCGTCATACGGTAATACCCATTTCCCTCGCAATTTGTCTGCTCCTGCCCTGGGCAACAATGTCGGCGGTGGTGAGCTTGGAGGTGGCACACGCCCTTCTTCACTGCCCACCTCTGCACCTCTAAACAGTGGCCATGAATCAGAAACAACATTTACCGATGTAAATGTACCACCAATTATTCGGGACTATCAAAAGCTCATGGATCCTCTGAAAAACAATGTCGACGCCGCCACATATTACGCCTCTCTTGAAGAGGCCAATGAATCTCAGCGCCCCAGCGTTCGACTCCCAGAAGATCCCACCATTCCTCATACCCAGATACAGAAGCGTGCAATCGTCAAACAAATGTGTAACGCTATGGCAAGCACCCATCGTGCGCAAGACAACAAACCTATGATCAAACCTTTTAGAGATAATAGATACAGCGATCGGCGAATGGAAGCTGCATGCTGGCAGGTCTTGGTAAGTAGGACATGCCGCTTCCTTGCGACATTGCTAACATACTTCGAGGAAACGGCCATTGAGCGGCACACTTTTGGTCCATTGTTGAGTGCCTTTGATGTCAAAGCGAAGAACCATGAGATGGTGACATTTGCCACCAGGATTGACAAAATCATTGAATGTCTCATGCTTCACAAGACTATTTGCAAGCATCTCCTTGACCCGCTTTATGTCTACCACTTTGTTGACGATCCTGTTCAGGCTGAGAAACGCGTGGTTGCAAACAGGCTGTTAAACAAACGCAAAGGAGAAGTGATGAATGCAGGAAAGCAAGTCCTCGGTACCAGAAAGCCTGGTGCCAAAAAGAGGTCTGGCAAAGCTGCTAGAGCCGTTACCCCACCCACAGATGAAGCTCCGTCAGATACTCCCGCAAGCTCGAGCACTGGTATTGAAGGTGGGACACTTACTCCTGACGGGCTCACTCGGATGGTGAAAGCCGAGCAAATGAGCTCGTCTCCCATGCTTAGCATTGGTACGCCGACTCAAACATATACTGCAGCTGCCCAGCAGTATTTGTCTACCCCTATGATGGGAAACGTCGCTATGTCGCACCTGCATAATCGCCAGATGACTGCGCCCACCTCCCATCCGAGGCCCATAATGATGAACCCAAATATGCCTTACCATTCTCGTGGTGGCTCTAACAATCTTGCTACCAGCCGCAAACGTCCCATGGGTGACTATGTGGCCTCTTCTCCCGGGAAGCGCCAGCGTTAGAGTCCGATATTGATCCTGAGAAACGCCCGCCTCGCCTCGATGAACGTACGAAGCCAATCCTTCGCCCAGCTTTGTAATGCCCCTCGTGCTAACTATTTTTCTTTTCTTTTACATTTCTTTTATTACTTGTTTGCTTATCCACTTCTATTGTCTAAGCGGATCAACTCCTCGGTAACTTTCTCAATCTTTCTTGCTTCCTGTGCCTCTCGTTGCCTTCTGCAATATCTGACCTATTTTGGAAACTGACCTTATGAAAGTGAATATCGAGTTGGGGTGCCATGGACTTCAGGGCCTCTACGACGAATGACCTTGATACCCCGACTGGATTTCGGTATGATCTATGTCTCTTTTCTGTCTCTCAGTGGACTTTCTTGCCTAGTAGTTGGGAGCCATGTGATACACTGCAACTGCATCATTTGGAAACCTTGCCATCTGCCGTTCGATTAGTGAGAAATTGGTTGTTGTTTATTCAACTCTTCTCAGGGTCGTCATACGATTGTGACTTCATCAATTTAACGATACTCTTAGTGTAGCTATACTTTTTTTTTTTTTTTGCTTCGCCTGGTATCCTCTGGAAATGACTTTATTTAATGCAACACCACATGGGTATCTTGGATTTCATATACAGTTTCAATCCCTGGTAATCAGGTTAATGTTTCTATCCACTAGTCTATGCAGGTTGAATACCATATTTCTCGAAAGGGAAGTTTTCCAAAGTAGGAAGCAAATCTCCAAGTCCATCGTTAAGCTGGCCAGGTTTCCCCGAGCTCCGCCCCATTCTACCGGCAACGAGCTCATCGGCCTCATGTTCAGCCGTAGACTTCTCCTCCTCCTTATGTTCACCAGTCAAACCAGCCAAAACTTCGGCCTCCCGGCCTTTATAAGCTCCCAACAAGCCAGGATGAGGGCACCAAACGACCCTCATGCCAGCTCTTCTTCCCGCCTCAACCCCAGGAACGGCGTCCTCAAAGACCAGACACTCCTCAGGTGTGATTTCCTTCTCTCCCTTCTGCCGTAAATTGGAATTGATGGTCTCCAGCGCAATCAAGTAAATATCCGGCAAGGGCTTGCCCCTTCCCTTCCCAATCCGGGGATCATCACCCAAAACACGTTGGGACTCGGGAAACGCCGCGAAGAGATCCTGCAGGTGGTCCGACTTCAACTTGTAGTTCCTGCTGTGCGAAGAGGTAGCCAATGCGATGTAAACGGGTTTATCGGTTTTCTGCGTTGAGACGAGCTTTTCCAGGAGTTCGCGCACACCGGGCAGAGGTTGCGATTCGGGGAAGTATTTGCTCTGCAAGGCGGCTTGTTTCGCGGAATATTCTTCCGGTGAGATGGAGAGCTGAGCCCAGTCGTAAAAGATTTTGAAGGCCTGGTTGTTCCAATGGTATTAGCTAGAGTGATATTGGGGTACTTTTGTGGGCATTTTGGGGGCCATCCGTGCTGTTAAAAGGCGTCGTCGCATATGATGATTTAACGTACCTCTGGTTGAGGGCGGCCCTGAAGCTGGGCCTTGATGGACCATGGGAGCGAGGGCTTTCCGTATTCGTGGAGAATGGTATTTGTAATGTCGGTGTATTTGTCCTCCGAGTCAATTAGGAGCCCATCCATGTCGAAGAGACATGCCCGCACGGGGGGCAGACTTTAGTTTGTTATTATCGAATGTCTGTTTACTTCACGATGGTAGGACTTACTTTGGGGTAGACTTCGTCATTTTGCAATAGGGGTATAGTGTCTATATGCGAAGTGCGACGTGGGTGTAAAGCGTGGTAGATCAATTGTCTCTACTCCACACTTTGATAGAAGGATTCTTGACAATGGCGGGGCAAAGATGGAGGGGATAACAATGGATTATGATGCCTGAGGCTAAACACCGATATGACCGAGCCAATCGGTGAGCGGGTTATCGTCCCGCTCCGAAGTCTATCTCATTATAAGCTGCGGGAACGGCAGCGGTGTAATTGATCTACTAACAAAGCCGAACGCTCCATCTCAAAAGTTGTGCGAATAGCCATATACACCCAAAATGGCAAGCAATACGCCTAAGGAACATGCGGATAATGCAGGGAGCGACAGTGAAGACGAGGATGTCTTCCATGATGCTAGATTTCCCGCTGAAGAAGAAGCTGTGAGTTTACTGGGCCTTTTCATCACAGAGAAGCTATTATGCTTACATATGATCGTAAATAGCAACTCCTGGAGGAATCTCACTCTATAAAAGCCGAAGCCAATAAGCTGTTTACTGCGGCTTGCTATGACCAAGCAATATCCTGCTACGATCGTGCCCTTGCCTCGTGTCCGAATTACCTCGATTACGAAGTCGCCGTGCTACGGAGTAATATGGCTGCGTGCTACCTGAAGCTGGAAGACTGGAAGGCCTCCGTTGATTCAGCAACGGCATGTCTTGACTGTCTAGAGAAAGTGATCCCGTCGGCGACTGAGAATTCCGACGCTCCCCAAGAAAAGCAGCACGAGTCGGTCTCGACAGATTCCGTGGTGGAAATAACTGGCGACGATGAAGAGGCAGAACAAGAAGAGCTCAAGCGGCTGCAGAAGGTTGATGAGAGGAAAAATGACGTTATGCGAATTCGGGCAAAGGCACTTATGCGACGCGCACGAGCAAAGTCGCAGCTTAACGGATGGGGGAACCTGCAAGGAGCCGAAGAAGACTACAAGTTGCTTGCCAGTATGGACAATTTACCGCCCGATGATAGGCGCATTGTGCAAAAGGCTCTTCGGGAGCTTCCGGATAAGATAGCAAAGGCAAGAGAAAAAGAAATGGCGGAGATGATGGGCAAATTAAAAGACGTGAGCTTGTCCTTCCTCGGCTTAAAATCGGTGTCATTCACGCTAACCAATGTTCCAGCTGGGTAACGGAATCCTCAAGCCATTTGGGCTTTCGACTGATAATTTCAAATTCACCCAAGATCCGAATACGGGTGGATATAGCATGAACTTCCAGTCTTAGACTAGCGTTTCATCCATGCATTCTGTCCTAATATTCTATAAGCGTTTTGCGTTGAATTAGACGTTTCTTTTCTGCGGCATTGTTGGTGGCACCGAGGGGGATAGAAGATTTTATTCATTTCTGAAATAGTCTTATCTACGTCATGGTGAAATTTGGCTTTCCCTCTCTTTTTGGAACCTTCTAAAGCATTCATCCTTCACAGTGAGCGCCGTTTATGATCGGCCTGGCGCCACAAGTGGATGAGGCATCTCTACAGGGAATACTGAATTCTCAGTTCCAATATCAAACTTCACTCTCTGGTTTGATTGCATGGCAGGTCATAAGGTACAGGTATAGGTGACAAACGCCAATCATCCTACGATCTCCCAGGGACTTACAGCCGAAAACCCATCGGAAGGGTTTTACTACGATACCCATGTCTATCGAGTTACATCCCTTGTGAATTATCCTATATAAGGGTGGCACTTACACGGAAGATGGGGTACCTTCCAATTTGTCGGATACCTTCAGAAAAGGTCGAATCAATGAGTGACTGAATAAGATGGATACATACAACCGTTCCATACCTTCAGCCGATTTCTTCCTTTGCAATGCTTGATTCCCATGCTGGGAGTAGTCTGTGCACCTTCTACGATTTCCTTTACCTTTGGGACTAAGAATTTGTCAAATCCGTATATCAAATAGATGGTTTTGGAAGAGAAACATTAAATTTAATAGATAATTCACCAGCAATTCTGCCGAGCTACCTAGTGTCGTACAATTTCGACATTGTAGAAATTAGGCTTTTATGGTCCCAGCTTTGGTAGCTCTACGAAAACTTTCGTGTCATGAAAATCACCGTCGTCTAGTCCCACTCTTGTCAAACCCCCCCTTTGCTCCAACCCAATCCCCACATTTTAGTTGCCCGAGGTTGGGGCGCTGAACGGTAGTTGTTAGCGGATAAGCCGATTTGGTCACTAATAAATCGACCGCTCGACGAAGGTGTCAACCATAGCCTTTGTTCCTGCCTGAAAGCTTTTTGGAAAATCAAAGCATCATATACTCCGTACAATTAAGCTTATCTCCATATACCGGGGTAGTTAATTGACAGGGAATCTTAGTAATCGGAAAACCGGAACATGGGGTATGGTTTAGTTTCCGATGGGGTCTCAAATGTGCATAATGTAGTCTAAGCCCATTAGATCCACAACTTATTTAGTTCTCGACTAAGTATTTAACTTGGAGTGAACTTGAACCCCCGCTTCATCTGTTCCTTATTTGTAAACGTTTTCTCATCTCACTATCATTGTTAAAAAAAAAAAAAATGGCTACAACAACCATCCAAACGAAGCACTTGGGGCAGATCCGGGGCAAGACCGCCGAAGGTGTAACACAGTTCCTGGGGGTTCAATACGCTACTCTAGAGGATAGGCTTGCCGATGCACAACTCGTGGAGAAGCGCGATGGCGGTATTCTCGATGCGACAAAGGACGGGTGCGAGAATCACATAGAAATGTTACAGACTCCTTTCCTTGACTTGACGCTAACGTGAGATAACCTTACGCAGACCAACAGCTATCTCACCTTCGTTCGGATGCGATGTAGAGCTGGCCGCCATACAGCATAAACTGCCCGCGAAAGAGCTCCCGCAGTCTGGTATCGACTGTCTCAGTTTAAACATTGCCGTCCCCGAGGGCACTACAGAATCCTCGAAACTTCCAGTGTTTTTCTTTATTCATGGCGGGGGTTTGCAGATTGGAGCCAATTCATGGCCGCAACTTGAGTTTATGCGTTTTGTAAAATTGTCCGCTGAGAAGAACTTGCCCGTTATCGCGGTTTCAATCAAGTAAGGCGATCTATCGGAGAACTTCTTCTTGGCAACATCTTGAACTAACTAAACTCAACAAGTTATCGGTTGGGGGTGTTTGGATTCTTGACTTCGGATGAGCTTCGAAAGGCCGGCTATAAAGCTAACAACGGCCTCCGGGACCAACGAGTCGCACTTGAATGGGTGCGAAGGCACATCGCAGATTTTGGAGGAGATCCAGAAAACGTTACAGCGGCTGGAGAAAGCGCCGGTGCAGGTATTGCTAGCTTTGCACATCGGTTTAGACACTAGGGCTAACTCTTCCAAGCATCGGTGATATATCACCTGAACTCTGAAGTTGCTCTTTTTAAGAGAGCTATTTCCATGAGTGGCAGTAACCTCTTCACTCAAGCTTTGCCGTACGATACTCATGAGCAGAACTATCAGCAAGCGATATCGGCATTGGGTTTGAAAAATGCCAGCACAGAGGAGAGAATCCAGACACTGTTGGAAAAGCCAGCACAAGAGCTGATTGCTACATTGCCTCCATCGATTCTGGCTACTCCCGCAGTAGACGGTGATTTGGTGACATCAGCTGCTACGCATGCCCAAACAACTGATAGAACTTCTGATTTGCCAAAGAGAAGGGATTGGTGCACTGATTTGATGATCGGCGACTGTCAGATGGATGTGAGTCCGGTTCTCTCAGGGATCATGATATGCTTAACGCAAGCTGACGCTGTTATGCGATTTAGGCCAGCATCATAGGATTAATCATGCCAAACCTAAAGGAAAACTGTGCTGAGAAATTTACCACAGCCATGAACAACGTATTATCATCACAACCGGACGTGGCGCAACGCATCCTGAGTGAATATGGTATCGGCAAGGGCATGACTGACGAGAAGGCATTACCTGCAGTACTTAACTACATCAATGATATCTGTTTCTTTGCACCTGTTCTGACCCTCACACGGGGTTGGAGGGGGAACTCTCACGTTTACTACTTCAACGAAGGGAACCCCTGGGAGGGACCATGGAAAGGGAAGGCAACCCACATCCTTGACGTTGCCTATCTAACTCAGAACTTTCAAGAGTTCATGACACCCTCCCAGCAGCTTGTTGCGACCACATATGCAGAAGACTTCTTGAAGTTCTGTCACGGCACCAACCCGTGGCCAGCAGTCACAGACGGTGATATCACTACCAATTTCACGGCAAGGGTATATGGGCCTAGCTCTGAGGGGCATGGTGTTGGGTTAGTGAGTGAGCCGTACAGAGGTGAGAGCCATCGGAGAAGCATCTTGTTTGACTGCAACGATGTAGTCTCTCTGGACGATCTAGCCAGAGTATTTGATGTTTTCAGGACCATTTAATGGTTTTAAAGTGGACTGATGTGTATTTAGTCGTACACTTCGAAATCAAATCAAGTTATCAGGTTTTTTGTAGATCATAAATCTGCACTTCAGGTCAACCATGGCAGGGAAAAGAGGTATTACCATGCAATGTCCTATAGATTACTTCCTACCGCATCTTTGCTGAGGAAAGATGATATGAACATCCTTCCATCCGGATACCCATGCGCGAAGCCCTCAACACAGACAAACCAGTAGAATGTCAGCCTGAAGTACGTTTCCTAATGCCTAACCCTATAAGTAATTAGCCAGACATCTGTGTCTATGGATACAATGCCTTAAAATGTAAGAAGTTTAATGGTTGTCCGGTAAGTGTAATATTCATATATTCAACTTGGACATTTAATATGGCATTATAATGACTTTGGGCAACTATGGTAAAACTATAGTTGAACCGTAGTAGTTTTTTTAAGTAAACGCTATAGTTAGTTCAACGAAAATATATTATTTCTACATGTAATACTATTGTTTCACGCCTGGTTATAGTAAAATTATGACTATTTTATATATTAGTCAATTGACTATATACACTTCATTATAATTTTACTGAAACGTTATAGATATGTAGTGTTATACACAAAATATGCCTTGAATAATGTGCCATTACAGTGACAAAGTGGTTGCCAGAAACCACTTGACACTGATTTCCCAAGGTTCCAAGTTTGGGAATTTGTACTTCCTCTTTTGGTTAGTTTTGCTCTTCCCGAAATGAAACTACATACATTACACTGCTAAATAAGGTTGGATCTCTCTCAAGGTACAAAAGGAATAAGAACACCGTAAAAAAAATTAAAATAAAAATAAAAAGAATAAAAAAAAATAAGAAAAAAATAATTAAAGAGAGAGAGAGAAAATAGACGCGTGTATGTCTTACAACCCATAGCAGGTGCTGGGATGAGGTGTGGAGCAATTTTTAGTTCCATGAATCTAATTCAAATGTTGGAAATTAATTCCGCTTTAGACGATTTAGATTTCGTATCACCGGTTGCGGAAAGTCACATTGTACATGGTACTAGTTGACCACCTATTCCAATACCATCCAATACCTTGCCGGAAATATGAAGCCCTCCGAAAGTTTCCAAGAGTTCCCAACCCCGTCTTTAGACTATTCTATGGAGCGAGATTATGAGCGAACGAGTAGAGTTGAAGCTACTTAATTCAAATGGAGATAGGCTTGGAGACGATTCTGGGTTATAAAACATGTGGATCTGGTGATAGACTAAACTGTTGTATATCGCAGTTGACCCATTTCTATATTCGTGTAAATATATGATCCAAAAAGACTTAAGAGTTGCTGGACCTGTCTTTCGAGCTAGGATAGCAAATCGAACCTTTTTGCCTTTCACATTGATGTATGGAAGGTAGAGCGCCCGCAGGTTTCTATAATAATAAACCTAGCATGGTACAAGCAATAGGCGAAGTCTAGTTTTTGGATCCATTGACGTGATCCATTGACTGGCAACGCGAACACCTGACAATGCTCGAGAATGTAGAATCTGTATACATCTCTATTCATCAATCTTGCTAACCTTAAGCTGAATTCCGTCTCGTGGTTTTAGGATGATCCGATACCTTTTTAACTCCTCCGGATCTCGGACGGCAGGGTCAGGAGCGAACTCGAATTTGCTCAAGAGGCAACAGAGCATTATCTTCACCTCCGTGTCAGCAAATTTGCGGCCTATGCAACCACGGGGCCCATGGATGAATGGTATGAAGGAGCTATTCGTGTAAGAGGCTGGAAGACAGTCCCATCTGTCTGGATCAAAGGCATTGGGGTTAGGTCCCCAGTATTCGGGCATCCGGTGGATCGTATTGACTGGGATACAGATAGAGGTACCTTTCGGAATGAAATACTCCCCAATCCTTTCATCCGTTACAGCCTCGCGTGGCACGATGGGCACAGGAGGAATATATCTCAAGGACTCACGACACACATTGTTGAGATATGGTAGACGATCCACATTGGCTTCGGTGAAATTGGCGTCTTCCCACGTGGCGCTTCTAAATAGGAAGGGGAAATGAGAACGTATCTCCTCGCGCAGCTTAACTTGTATGTGTTGGTACTTGCTAAGAAGATGGAGAGTCCATGACAACCAGGTGGCACTTGTATCTTGGCCTGCTCCAAGAAAAGTGGCAATTTGAGCGCACTTTATCTTCATGTCCTCGTCCACATCTTCAAGCTTCCTGTCATTATGGATAATCTGTGACAATATGCTAGTACTGGTCAAATCAGGAATAGCCTTCTTGTCCTTGATCAGGGCTGATGCAAATTCATAAAGGGTGCGCTTGGCTGCATCGACATCACGGTTTGCTGCTGTAGGAATATACCGAGCAAGCGGGGACAGAATATGGAGCACAGTTATGAGTCCCATGGCAGCATTGAATTTGAAAATTTGGCGGAATGCCTGTAGCACAGGCGCACCTGGATTGTGAAGGGAGTTGATCTTGGCCCCAAAGCCAACAGCGGCAATGATGTCGAGACTAGCTCGCGAGGCCCAGTCCGAAATATTCAGAGAAACAATGTCGTCCCT